ATAAGCAAAGTCTTTATGTAAACTAAACAGGAATTGCACATTTGATTGTTTTTGTTGTTGTTGCTCAACGTATTTTTCCTTTTTCTTATTTTACTTTCCTTAAAATTTCTACTTCTAAATTTTAATTGCTTTGTTAAATGGTAATGGCAAAACACAATTAAATGCTGTCAATGGGATCCTTAGAGAAAGTTGAGGAGGTGAGGAAGAAGGGGATGATGGAGAAACAATTACAGGGGTGGTAAGAGTCAGGGTACTTCTGATGCCCTGGGGAGCTTTTCTCCCAGTGGGTGGAGGCTGCAATTGGCAGTCATAACCTTTTCTTTCTCAACTAGAGAGAAAACAGGAGACTGTACCTAAGTTCTCAAACTGTAACTAATTGATTTTCAACTAATCTAGGCTTCTAGCTCTAAAGAAACCAGGACCAAAAGCAGACCCCAGGAAGGGTGGGGGTGGTAAGGTGGGGATGCCAAGAGAGCCTAGGGCTAGAGCGACCACAGAACTAAAAGAAAAAAAAAGAAAGACCAAAAAATGTTGGAGTGGAAAGGGAGGAGGGGGGTAGTGATATTACAAAAAATGAAAGAACGAAAGGGAAGCAGCAGTAGGTGATGGCTGAGGAAGTCTGAAGTCCTTTTACCTTTATGTTTATACCTTTTACATTCCAGCTGTTACTTCTTACTAAACTTTTAAAACTGGCTATTTATAAGTGGCCATTAAAATTTGCAAAAAAAATTTTTAAAGATAGTTAAATTCTGAGTATAACTACCTCTGGCAGCCATGCCAGTCACTTGACAATCAACTCGTTTTAACAGAGAACAAGAATCCATTTGGTCATGTTTATAAATGTGAAAAGTTGTTGAAGAAAAAAGGAAAAAGGCCTCCACCCTCAGCAACTTCTTTCTCTTCAAAAGTTTTAAAGAATGATTGTTGCTTTGCCTAATATTAGCATTTGTTATTCCAGGAATATTTTGTGAATATGTACTAGAATAGCTTTTGATCATCTTTTTCTTCCACCCATCCCCCCCAAAAAAAGAATCTTTCATGTGTTTATGGATGTGTTTATGTTACACAAGTGTTAATAACCCTGTTGGAGAGACTACATAGATAGGCATCTTTAGGTAGATCTGTATATAAATTCCTCTCCACTGGGCACTTGAGTCAGCCAAAAACAACAATAAATATCAATGATGTCTTTCAAATCTGTCAACTGAGAACACACACATTTTTCCCTTCCACTACCAAGAGAGTTTAATGATTTGGGGAAATAGGGGAAGGAGGATTTAATTTAAAGTTTTTGAAAGCATTTTTTCTTTCATGTCTAACATAAAAACATGTTGTTATAAGATATAACAGAAACTTAAACACCACATTTATATACTTTTATACTTGGAATTAATATACATTCTTGAAAATATCTAAGAAGCATTTGACTTTAAACCAACTGATCAGTGAGTCAAAAACCATTAATAGAGCCAAAGTTCAACGTTTTCAGAGAAACACATGTAGACAAAGAATAATATAAGTACATTTTCTGTGTTTACTAGTTTTTGCTATTTCCTCTAAAATATCTACAATGTTATGTCATTGCAGTAATACTATCATCAAGTAATCAAATAAAATTGATTTCTAACTACAAGATCTCAGAAATACACTTCATGTTTATCTTTATGTAGACAAGAGATATGCTTAAATATTGCAAGCAAATTATCTAATTTTTCCTTAATTTGTATAGGTGTTTAATACATACACTAACCCTTAGCATTTTTGACAAAGAGATGTTTACAAAAGAAAAAAAATTACCAGAAAGATATTTTTGTTACTAACAAAATACTGTATTATTGACTAAAGAATTCCATCAATACTCAACAGTTTCAGGGAAAAAGCAAAGAATTAAACTTATAAAAGCTCAATACTATGAGACTGACAAATTTGGCCCAAGAATAATGAATACAATAGAAAGTTTCTCTCCACACAATTAAAAATCAATATTTGTTTCTTCAAAGTGAACCAATCACAAAAATAATTTAAAAGTTAATATTATGTGTTTGGTTTCCTATTTAGATGTTTACATGCCTTAAATCAAGTTTTTTACATTTTAATTTTCTTTTAGTAAATTCGAATCTATTTTTCACTATGAATACAAAATTAATATCACCTGAATTTTAAAAATTAGATTTTTTGTTAAATATGTTTCTGAATTTGGATTAAGTTTAATTATTCTTAATGAGCAAAACTTATGTTGAAAAAAGTCTCTATGAATGACAAGATAATGTTGGAAAATCCATTATTTGACTTGAAAATGATAATGTACGAGCATTTTTTAAAGGGTGCTATTAGATCCTTTTTGTGTAATTCATCTTATTATGGGAAATGTCAGCAGATTCTTTTCACATATTTAAGTATCCAGGTGACTTCCTCAGTACAAATCCCTCACTTATTGCTAACTTGACTCATTTGCACTTAGTCCCAACTATATACTTATCTTTTAAGATACTGAAAAAATAAAATAAAATCCCTCTGGGTCTTATAAGAACATGAAGCAAGTGGCAGGTAATATTTGTTAATGAGTGCCACATTAAAAAGCATTGAAATTCTTATTGCAGTTGATAATGATATTACCTTTATACCTTTCTTGAGTGTATTGACTTGTTTTATTACAAAAGAAATATAGAAGTCAAAGTTTTTTAGTAAGTAATGGTTGATTGTAAGTTTTAGCTATATTAGAAGCCATGGGCAAAGAATCATAAAATTGTGACTCAATCTTCCTTGGAAACTACCAGGAGAAACTCACCTCGTATCAGAATTAGTTCGTCAGTTAATTTCATGTGAGACATTTAGTTAGGAATTATCAAATAAAGAAAAAACAATATGGTTTGTTAGTGAAGATAAATTATTACTCAGCAATCCAAGCATGATATAAATAAATACATACATTTATTTATTTAGATATAAGGTTTATATCCATCATTTAGAGTAAAATGAATAATTGTACTTATTGGTAGGTAATAAACCAATAAACTGCTGTGCTATAATTTGGACAAGATAAACAAAATTTCATTGATTTAAAAACATGTGTTTCTTAATAAATTCTAGAAATCACTGAATAAAATTGTTTATTATTGTTTTTAATATATTACTCTATGTATATTTATAAAAAATAATGGCACACTAATTAAAAATCATACTTAACTCTTTTTTACAAAATAAATATACTTCTCTTGTGTATGACAAAAATATTTATTTACAATAAAAAATAAGGGTAAATTTATGACTAAACTACTTTTTATTAACTATAGAATATAATATATTCTTCTGTGTCAGATTCTAGATTATTTGAACTTAGTTTTTCAGTTATTTATTTTTATAAATATGCAAATTATGCTAGATTGAAACTTTTGTTAAAATATTGTAATTAATTTAAATCTTGACTAGTACTTTAGAAATGCTACAAGTAAATTGTACAAAGAGCCACATTTGCATAACTCTAATACTAATACTAGGAAAAAAATGAATAATTTGAAATTAAGCTATATTTTAATGCCTAAAAATTGCAAGTGAATCTGTTAATTATAAGTCTAAGGAAAAGCCTCCAGGACACCTGATTAGTGCAACAAATGATGACTTACTAAAACTTAATAATGAGAGCTTTGTCTCTGGTAACATAAAACATATGATGTATTAAGTGCCTTATCCTTCATGCTAGAATTGCTAAGAGCAAATAAGCAGGGCATATTAAGCAATATATATTGTAAAAGCATCCGTGTGTTATTAAGATTTGTTACAATCTGACTCTCAAAGAATATTTCCTTTGAGATTTTATATGAGGAAGTTTTTAATTAAGTGTATAATAAAACATGTCGATTTTTAAGTCAAAGCAGATTGCATTTTTAAAAGAAAGTTTTAAAAGTTCTTATATTATAAAGTTTTCAGTTCTTCCCAGTTGATTAAATTTGCTGAACAAATATTTAATCTTCAAAAATAAAATATATTATATGTATTTTCCTTGAATGTCAGAAGATAGTAAATTGCAGCTTCAGTTTTTACTAAAATATTTTTTAAATCCCTTGTAAAAATCATGGCAAATTGGTAAGCTTTATAATATTATGGCAAGAAGGATTAATTAGGTACTAATTTACCATCTGATATTGTAGTATGAAAAACTCCCAAGAAGTATCAGCATTGAATAGAACATAATATTAAAAATTATTCGCTAATACAGTTGCTACTTACAGAAGTTTTAATTAAATTTTATCTCAAGTAAATATTTTATCTCAAATAAAAAGAAAACTTTGTAGCTGAAGACATCAAACCATGTTTTACATTTCTCTTGTCTATAAAAAAATCATGTAGGCATGACATGTTTTAACCATTAGAGTTAAGAAATGTTAGATTCAAACTTTTTTTCTAAAATAATTATCACAGAATTTTGGAATTCCTTCCTGGATTCCTTGATAGTTATAGTGATCTTTTACAGTATTTTTGAGCTTAGTTAATTTTACATCAATATTTTTACAGTAGTGGCTTCTCATTCCCATAAGTGGAAATTTTTAGATAGTATGTGAGTATATACTTATATTTGCTTTAAATTACTAACAAAAAAATGATTCAGAATGTCACTTTTACTTTCCCATCTGTAAGTGCCTGGTTTTTTTTTTCTTTTTTGCCCATAATGTAGTTATCCTCATAAGCTTCCATTTTTTAGACTATTGCTTTTTTATTTATATATTTAAGCAAGTTGCAATTTTAACAAGATCTGAAAAGACCTAAATCTACCCAAACTTAAGTGTTTAATTTTAACTTTTCACATTAAATATATATACATATATATGACTGTTGCCTAAAGCAAAATCCTACATTGCATTGAAAGAAAGAAAACAGAAGCTAGAGAGGAGTTATAGAAAATGACTTTATATAAACATGACCACCTACCAAGCAGCTACTTCACCACTGGAAAAACTTCCACTTTGTTATTACATAAATTAACAAATAAACGAACAACATACCTAAGTTGACAAAGCTCATGACCATGTCAGCATCATTCAGAAAGTTGGTATCATGGAGGCTGGCTAGAGGAGGACTCTGGGTGGTGAGAGGAGCCGTCCGAGATAACTGTATTCGACGAGGATACCCGTTGGGAGAGGCTGGGTATCCCTTTCTTGCCCCTCTGGTCTCTCCTGCCAAGGATGCCCTCACTGAGTATTCTGACTCTTCAGGATTTTCTTCATTGGCCATGGCATTGTACAGATCCAGCATAAAGAGAGGCGCAGAAGATGCTTGTTTTCCAGGTGAAAATGGTCTGGGTCTGTGAGGCAAACCTAAGATAGAGAGGATTTCCCTCTGTATTTCCCGTCTTTCATGGTTCCGTAGTCGTCTATAAATAAAACTGGAGTGAACATGATTGTCTCCCAAACCTCCTTTTGCATAACCCACTAGTACCCAGCAGCTCCAGAGGAAACCCACAATACCCCTAAGTAAAAATACAGTCAGAGGCATTTTTGTCCAAAAGCAAAAGTTGATATTTTTAGTCCTTCTTGTCCTCTTAAAAAAAAAAATCTAAGTTCTCAGGAGGTATACTTTTCCAGTAGCTGAAAAAAACAAATTTACCTATTCTTCATGACAGTGACATTTCTGAGTACAACATCCTCACTGATCTTCCTGTTCTATTTTAAATATTTCGGAAAGTGTCAAGAGTAGTTATTTCTAAGAAAGCTGAAACTCAGATTTCCAATTATCCACAGTTGTTAAGCGTTTTTGCTGCATTGATGTAGCAGAAGACAGCTAATATCATTTGATGAGATGACCTATGCATTCCTATTGAATTTATGATAATCAGGCCTTTGGTATTTGAATTAACGAAAGTTGATCTTCTGATAAACTGTCATTCCCAAAGTTATCTTCACTTGCTCTTGAGTTCTTCTCAACCCTTGAGCTCTTTCCAAGACAAATCCTGATTTCTGAATCACAGATCTATGCTGATCTGTACCTTGGTGTTGGAATATATATTTGTCCGGCAGCTTGGTGATAACTTTAACATCTTTTGTGTCGTCTTAGTGTAAAATAATACTCAAGGTTGTACTATTCAAGTAAATGTGTTTCCCTGAATTTACTTGAAATCCTTCCTGTAAGTCCATTCAATCCCTTTCTCCTTCTTACTGCTAATTCCACCTCCAGCAGGCACAAATATACCAGCCCTCTTCAAGAGAGATCTAAAGAGTAATGTAAGCACAACCCTGCTGGGAAAGAAGAGGCTTCTCATTGTAATTTGAAACTGGTAAAGCAAAAAGAACTTAACCCTTTTGCTACCAGAAAAGTCTCCATTTTTACAATTTTATAACCAAGCATCTAACATAAAACAGTGATGCATAGGGCATACAAGTTCCAGGGAAAAGAAAAGGCAGTTTTCAAGTACTATACTGGAAATTTTGCTACCCATTTTAGATAGCACTGTTTTAGATCTTTTTTTTTTTTTAATAAAATGCAAACACTTCTATATTAAGTCTCAGGTTGTGCTTAAATTAGCATATGTCTCTGTTCTGTACTGGAGATGATTCCTAGTTTTTGTAAGTCATTAAAGTGTACTTCTTTAAAAAATAAAAGGATGAGTTATAATTGAGGTTAATTCACTGTTTCTTAATGACTGTCAGATTTTTTAAAAAATAAAAACCAGCAGAGAATTAATCACTAATAATCACTTGTTCCCAAAGTAGTAGTTGTAATAATTCCATAACAGTGATTAGCTTCCCCAGCATTAAATGTCTTTAAATATCAAAATTTTAAGCACAAAAGTTTACTCTTTTTTCCCTTATTAAATCAGTAAAGTTAAAATACAAATATCCTAAATGCATTATCATGATTCTTAACTTTTAAGTCATTTCAGCTGAAATGTACACAAACTTACAAATTAAATATTTCCCAGAAATTGCACTCAGTACTTTGGTTTGTTTTAACCCATGCAAATAAACACAAATCAAATATTATTCATGACTACATGCAGATTGAAATTTGAGTTTTTAAAAATTTGATGGGTAAAATGGGGAAAGTGAACACCTTTCTAAAATACCATACTTAATCTGAGGAAATGAGCAAAGTATGTGTTTATCCTTAATGTTTAATGCCTTTAAAATTTGGAAGTCTACAATGTTTTTGTGCAGCTATAATTTTCCTTACAAGCTCTCACTTAACCTTAGGGCTCACAGTACTTTCATTGTCTGGGATAGCATTCTGATACCAATGTAAATTTATCGAGCAAATTCTAGAACTGTTATGAAATTTTAATGTTTTTCCTCTGCTCTACCTAGAGGCGCCTGGTTTCTTGTTTAATTTCTTTTTAAATATTTCCTCTGAGTGTATAAAGAAAAGTCATATTTCTCACAAGTCTTCAGTTTATTGGCGAATGCAAAATACTGAAAAGACTCGCAGAATCTTATCGTATACATCAGCTTTTTTTATACAAACTCACTCAATAAAACTTGATGCTGTTTTCTGTTTGCTTTACTGAACATTCTCTATTAATAGTCTCATAGGATGCCACAATAGCAGACACAAATACTGTCATGGAGCACCTCTTCAAAATAGGTATCACCAAGAATAGCAAAGTGCAGGTTGCAAGGAAGTGAAGAAATACCCTTTCAGTAAGAAGTCGTTTAAACTGCTAAAATTCTTGAGATTGTTTATTTAATATCTGAACAAAATTAGAATTTTAGATCATTGATACATAGTCAAATCAATTACTTTAAGACAAAAAGCCTCTGTCTGCATCCATAAAATGTATCCTAGATAAAGTAGGCTATAGTTTTATTCCCTGTTTTTAAAATAATCAAGGTTATGAATTTGCTTCTGGTTTCTAGAGCATAGTATAGAGTTACAAAGTAAAATTGACCACAATAAAGGAAGAAACAAATCTTCTTTTCTCCCATATGTGCTGATTTTTTTTCCTAAGATAAATGTGAAAAATAAAAATGAGTCTAGGTGCCATACGTCTCAAAAACTCATTTTCCCAAATCATGATTTATAATATCAATCAGTATAATTGAAATTTAATTGCCTAACCAGGCATATAGCCTACCTCTATATTGGAAATCAGTTGTTAGTGTTCTTGGTCAGAATTTTTAGTATCCACCCTCCCCCAACCTTTCCTTCCAACTCAGACTAGATTTGGCAAACGTTCATTTTTAAAAAAGATCAACATGTGCAATGCGAGAAAGAAAATAAAGAAAAAACCTTCCAGGAATAAAGGGGAAATGGTAACCACCAAACGAAAAGCCAGATTCATTTTCAATTAAAAGTAAATGTATTTTGCTGCATCACTTGGATTCCCGGGTAGCTTTGTCTCTAAGTATGTGAGAGCTATTTGAAAGATAAAGTATTCCCAAGGTATAAACATTCCAAATTTCAGAGCATGCATTTAAAGTTGTATAAGTTATTGAAGATACTGAATTAGCATGTGGTGAGAAAGAAGGCATGGGGACAGGAAAAACATCCAAGGCATCACAAAAATTGTCCCCAAAGATAAGTGCACTTCAAGAAAGGAGGTGGCTAGAAATCTACATCTTGCAATGTAGTATTTGCCTGGATATAGTCTAATGTCACTGACCTTCTGGTAAGGAGCAGAGACAACAGAATCCATGGACGAAGTATTTCTCCACTGTCATTCTTTCTGTTCATTTCTCCCATTCCCTCACTAAAATTTGACACATTTAGTCCATGAATATATAAATCAGCTGTCTAATTGGCCAATTTCATGTTTTTAAGCTGTTCAAAAGAAACCTGCTCAAAGAAATCTGAAAGCTGTTTTGTTCTAGAAGGATCTTTATATTTCACTTCTGGCTTTTGTTGTTATGTTGTTCTCCTTGAAACAAAAATACAATAGAAAGACATGACTACAATGAAAGATAGATACCTGATGCAAACAACACCTGCACCCCTAAATTATTTATCAAATCTGGAAACTAATTCAAAATCATCTGAATATGATCATAAAATTCTTAAACTGAAGTTACCTTAGACTGTGTTGAACAGAGTAAGGAGAAAGGGTGGGAACGAGGCCACCTAAAAGGTTGAAGAGCCTTGTAATAGTGGAAGAATTCAAGAACGGTATCCTCTTCTGGAATCTTTTTGGTGAATACATGCACAAGTACAGAACAAAACACCACCTATGATATTAAATTGTTTCATTTCATCCTCTTTTTGAGTGATAGACATAGCATACATCTAAACTGAAAATATGATGTGGTCCAAAGAAAGACAGAACAGTGCTACACCACCACCATCTGACTTAGATTGGTCTGCTGTAATCTAAAAGGGATTGCAATTGTGGGCAGGCTATGCTTTTTTGTCACTAACTGTTAAGGAAATCTCGAAAAAAGATAAGAAAAATACAGTCACCAAAAATGTTCAAAGTGTTTGGTATTATTTTTAATGGATGGTGACATTATTGAATAGTGTTACGCGAACAGAGGATTTTCCAACATGCTTTTTATTTTTACATACTCTCTAGATTGTTTTATATTAGTTCATGAGAGTAGGTATTGTATTCGTTACTTCAAAGGAGAATAAATTGATACTTAATAATAAAAATTTAAAAATATTTAAAAATTGGACAATGTTAGTAAAATACCAGTCAAAGGATTAAATCTAACAAATAGACTCCAGCTAACTCAGCTCAAAATATGTGATCAGTTCAGTTATTTGACCAGATGGTTTATCCATCATTCAAATGGACAGATTTTAAATAATTAGAAAGATTAACCATTAAGCAGTTATGAAGTCAACCATGAAAGAATAGCTTCATTTGTAGGATAGTTTATAATTTTAAAAACTCATTCACAATAGACTGTTTATTAACTTACTTATTAATTCACTAATATTTAATATATGCCTGTGATGTGAATATGATGGGTTATGTACTATATGCCTTAGATACAACCAAGAAATTCAAACAAGGCTCTCATTCTCATAGAGTTTAATAATATGGTATTATCATTTCAATAGATTTAAGGGCATATTAAGAGCACGAGTTGAATGTAGTTCTTCATCAAGGTAGTTTTTTTTTTTTTTTTCTTGAAACATTAGCTGGAATACAAACTTCATGAAAACAGAGGCTGAGCTTATTTTGGTCACTAGTGATAAACAGTACTTATTAGTGACTCAGTTAACATTTGTCAAACAGTCAATATTTTTAACAAAGACGAATAATATTCTGAGGATTTTTTCAGGGCAGTTCTCTCTGAACCGCATAGTTACAAGGATTCAATAAGCTCATGAGTTGATGAATCTTTTAGTAGGTAGGTGTCTTTTAGTAGGTAGACTCTTCCAACCTTCTAAAGATTTTTCGCATAAAGAAACTTGCTTATTGTGTGACATCCCACAGTTCTGAATCCAAGTACAAACTTCTGTCAACACTAGATAATTGTAATGACTTAGAAGTTAAAAAGCATTATGTAGAGAATTACATTAGCATTTGCAAAATACCTTGGTCTATCATTACGAGGAAGATCTACTGAATTAAAGGAGCCCCTGACCCAACAATTTCTGTCCATTTATAACTCATTCTTTGAATTGTAATGGCCTATTTTATGTGTCTTGTTGTTGCTATTTTTATGGCCCATATTACAATGAGTGAAGCTCTGAAAAGGACCACTTTTTGTTTAACAAGCATTAGCAACAAACAGTACACATGCTAAGGCTCAGCAGGTATACAGACATGAAACACACAGCAATGAGATGAGGTGGAGTTTGAGAAGGTCTAGAGCATGAAAAAAGGTACTAAAGGCATGTTGGAGAATCTCCAAGAAAAGCTTTTAAACCCACACTTCTTATGCTTTACACTTTTGCAGATAGGTGACTCTAACTACAAGTATCTTATCAATAAGTTGGTGGATTCAAAACCTGTAGGAATGTGATGGTTCATTGTAAGGTAAAACTGTCAATTTACCCCTATATTTCCCATTAACAGTAGGTTGATCCTCAATGGAAAATACAATCTAAGTCTGTCACTTGCCATGATATGTTCACAAGAACGTTGAAGAGAATATAAAGTTTACCTAATGCAAAATTGTCTTGATAGCATACCTGCTGTTATTTGTAATATTTTAATTAAAAAGCCCTACTTTTCCATAGTATCTTTTTTCTCCAGGAAAGAAACACTATTTTATAGAATCTTCTTCAAAAGTTTTAGGATAAATTTGAAACCTAAAAAATTGGCCTCAAATATATCACAGAAATTGTCCATCAGCAATGAAAAGA